TGTGTTTTTCCTGCTGCAGGAAGCTTGGGGATGGGCTGTTCCTGCAGTGCTGTAAGGAGGTGGCCGAGCTGTACCCCAAGATCAAATATGACACCATCATAATTGACAACTGCTGCATGCAGGTGAGTCCACACACACACTTGAGCTCCCACAGCCTCCTTGGGGCATCCACAGCCTCCCTGGACAACCTGTGCCAGTGTCTCACCACCCACACTTTAAGAAGCACAGGACAAAAAATCACAGGATCGTTTAGGTTGGAAAAGGCCTCAGAGGCCAAGGAATCAGTGTGTTACGGGGTTGGAATGGACCTTAGAGATCATCCAGTTCCAAACCCCTGCTCTGAGCAGGGACACTTCTCACCAGACCAGGTTGCTCCAGGCTTTGTCCAACCTGGTTACAGCACTGACAGGTTAGAGGTTGGACTTGGTGATCTTAGAGGTCTCTTCCAACCTTGATGATTCTATGCTACTCCCCATGGCTGGGGCCCTGCCTGAGGGGGGGCTGAGCTGCCACAGGACCTCACCTGTGTCGTTCCTCCCTCCCAGCTGGTGCAGAACCCCTACCAGTTCGATGTCCTGGTGATGCCCAACCTGTATGGCAACATCGTGGACAACTTGGCTGCAGGGCTGGTGGGTGGTGCCGGCGTCGTGCCCGGGGAGAGCTACAGTGCTGAGTATGCCGTGTTTGAAATGGTGAGGAGGGTCTGGGGGGCTCTGGGAGGTCCACAGGGAGGGTCTGGGAGGCTGCTGGGGCCATCACCACCATGGTCTGTCCCCCAGGGCGCTCGACACCCCTTCGCCCAGGCCGTGGGCAGGAACATCGCCAACCCCACAGCCATGCTGCTCTCAGCCTCCAACATGCTGAGGCACCTCAAGTAGGTCCTGCTTTGGGAGGTCTGGGAGGGGGAGTGTGGGGCACAGAGGGGTTGATCCACTACTGCTCCCTCTCTCCAGCCTGGAATTCCACTCCAACCTGATTGCAGATGCGGTGAAGAAGGTGATCAAGAGCGGCAAAGTAAGTGTGGGGTCTGGGTCACGTCATGGTGGTGTCACTGTGCCACTCCATGACCTCACCAAGGCTCCTGCTCTGACTCCTCTCTTTCCACCTGGAATTCTGGCTCCTCTCCTCTCTCCAGGGGTCCCTGTGGCTTTAGCTGGCCCTGCTGCTTGTCCTGGGGGTCATGTGCTGGTGACGGACCTCGGGCAGGACTTATGTCCCCCATGGCCTTGTCCCCACCTGTGTCCTGGCAGGGCATTTGAGGGCTCCTGTGTCACCATGTGCCCACCCCAGGTCCTGGCAGGGCACTCAGGGGATGCTTCATGGGCCCATCTCCACCCCAGATCCTGGCAGAGTGCTTGAGGGTCTGTGCTGTCCTGTCTCTCCTCTGCTGCTTGTCCCAGCCGTTCCCCTGTTCACCAGGGCTTCTCCATGTCTCCCCTCCCTGCTGGGTTTCAGGTTCGTACTCTGGACCTGGGCGGTTACTCCACCACCACCGACTTCGTCAAGTCTGTGATTGACAACCTGCACCCCAACTATGGGGCCTAGGACGCCCCAAGCAGTGCAGGGGGACATCACCACACCCTGCTGCAGCAACTCAGGCCACCCCCATGTCCCCCCTAACTGTGTACCCCTTCCCCTGCCCTTTGTTCCCCCTGCTCCTTGTAACCCTCTCCCCATGTCTTCTTTCCTGTGTCCTCCTCCCTGTATCCGCCCTGCCTTCCTCCCCATGTCCCCCTGCCCCAGCCCAGCTGCCCCAGTGCCCCCCGGAAAGGAGGAGGATGGCTCCCCCCAAGCCAGTTCTCCTCAGTGCCCCTCACAGGGGTTGCTGTGTCTCCATGTGAGGAGGCCAGG